CAGTTAGAGAAACAAGGACATTGTTGTGTGGGAATATTTAATTGGACATTACATTTATTGGAAGTGTATATACATAACAATGGTAATAGTAAGAGGAACGAGGAAAGTATCGTAGGCTCACATGACTAAATATCAAACTTAGCTGATAAACGACTTGTACATGTTACACGAATAATGAACCCGTTAAGTCTGTATAACTCATTTAATCATGGTTGATCACCAGCATTGCTTTATGTCCATGCTTGGTTATAATGTAGTCAGCTGTGGTGTAATGTTTAAGGATGCACAATAAAACCATTACCGTCCATATACCATTCATATGAATCCGGCCGATTGGTTCCCTTAAGACCTTTGTTTTACATACAGAAATATACTCGCGGAAGAAACATTTTTCTGCCCCCTAAAAAACATAACAAACTCAAAACACTAAAACGAAATTGTCATGGATTGTTCATATAACTAAATAGTTTGTTATTCTTACCAATGATGACGCTGAAACTGCACGTGCATCTCGGTCATTGTGTACAAAAAATTATTACTTATGAAAAGCAACTTACTTGACGGCAAAAGCGCTTAAGCGTTACGCTATGCCTATCTATTAATGTGCAGTTGCGGGCAACTGAAATGCTTGAAACTTGAATTGTACAAAAAGTAGTTGTTATGTGTTTTGGTGTTCATCCGTACACCATACACTCACACGGTGTCGGTATCAACAGATCGGTAACACCAGGGACCGGTCACGTTCTAGACCTCAACTTTGCCAGCCCTCAGCATCCCTGGTAGATATGTGCTAATAGTATGTGAAAATTATTTTTTTTAAAATCAAGTACGTTTTCGAGACACTGACATCCTGCCAGCTTCAGTCAGTCAAATGCCAGTCTAGCAAATGGATAAGTACTACTTTGCTTCAGAAGGCAAGAACTTATTTATGTTAACATAAATTGATTTGTTCTTTATAATCAATCCCAAATTTGGTTTCACACGTATAGGAACTATAGGCAGTCCTTTTCAGAGACAGCATGACCCGTGAATATCCGGGTTAGAATGGGTCTTCAGCAACCCATGCATGCCGTAAAAGGCGACTCTGCTTGTCGTTTGAGGCGACTAAGGGGATCAGATGGCCAGACTCGCTGACGTGGTTGATGCATGTCATCGTATCCCAATGGCATAGATCGATCCTCATGATGGACCTCATGATTGTCTGGTCAAGACTTAATTATTTACAGACCGCCGTTATATAGCTGGAATATTGTTCAGTGGGAGAGAGTCACAACCCTTGCCACCAACCTCAAAGACTTCAAGATCGGGAAACTACATGAAGCCATCAACATCAAAAGACTCCAGCCGTCAATCAACCGTGATCAAGGCTATTTCATACCCCCGGCGTACCATCAACTCATCAAAGGCTACAATCAACCAGAATCCCGTTGTTTATATTACTGGCTTCATCGTCTGTTTATGTCACTGACTTCACCGATGATTGTCATCACTACCCTTGTGTGTACATAACAGGCTACTCTACTACAGTATAACAATATCTACTCTACTGTATAAACATTGCCTCCTACTTGTATATATACTTGCCAACCACACTCTGTAAATCTCTTGCTTGATAACGGTGGAAGAACCTACACCGAAACGTCGCTCTTAATTGTAATAAAGAAGTTGTTCATCAATAAATTCTTATCCTTACTTAGTACTCCAACTTCTAAATGCCTATCGGCACTCGTGAAGAGCAACCTCCTCGTGGTGAGTGCTGGGTAGCGCTAATAGCTCTTCCCCCGTGTGGAACCGGGGCAGAATATTTCCACAGCACCCCATTGCTGGTCGTAAGAGGCGACCAAAGTGGGCAGCCCGTTTGCCGTGGGTTGCGTCTGGTAGTTGAGGGCACTGGTTCCTGGAACTGTGTTCCTTTGCCCAACACACTACTTCGACCCTTACTTCGCCTAGACGGGTGGTAAGATGGGCCCAGTCTAATCAATCGGCTGGTCATGCGTAATATTGTATATGCACACCTGTGTTGTATTTTAATATATATTTTGGTCTTGGCCATGCATAATTTGTATGAATTAACAATTTTGGATGGACTAAATTGCCTAGAGTCTTACGCCAGAAGGCGGTGGCTCATGGGCCAATCTGGTGATGTTGACCTCTGTATTCTGTATGTCTCCAGTTTCTTGTCATGGACTGAACCTGCCTGGCACTATATCTGGTAGATAAATATAGCTATTCAAGTCATATTTGCTGGAGTATAACATCCCTGTATCCCTGGTGTTTGCATCCTGGATATCCGGTGCAATATAACACTGTCCTTGTTGACACTCGATGGCGGGTGGGGAACAGAGGTGTTTAATCATTTTCTTTTCAAGATGGCTCTCCCACAATCTGGTTCATCTCGTAATGAAAAAAAAGACGTCTTGAGGAAATTGAAATTTCAGCTGGAAATCGTTCTCAAAATATTGATTCCTGGGCTAAATTCCTGGTGATTGAGGCTACTGATAACTTACCCATCAAACTGAATCCTTTTGCTGTTTCTAAGGCTGTGTCCGGGATTTGCGGTGAGGTCAAGAACGTCACCCGTCTCCGTAGTGGTTCGCTTCTTGTGGAGTGTGCGCGGAGACAGCAGTCTCTCAATCTTTTATCTATCTCTACATTTGCCAATATTGAGGTTGCTGTGTCTGTGCACAGAACATTAAATTCTTGTCGGGCATTGTTCGTGACAGAGCTCGTTTTCTGTCCGACATGTCTGAAGAAGAAATCGCTACAGAGTTGGAAGACCAGGCTGTTACTGCAGTTAAACGTTTTACGATAAAGAAAGATGGTGTCATCACAAACAAAAATACTTATCTCATGACGTTTGCCCGTACATCTCTTCCCCAGTCAATTACAGCAGGTTATTTCCACATCGGAGTGGATGTGTATGTCCCCAATCCGCTCCGATGCTACAAGTGCCAACATTTCGGTCATGGTTCGAAATCTTCGTAACTCTGTGATATGTTATCGTTGTGGTGACAATCATGAGAGCACTGACTGTAATCATGATTTGAAATGTGCTAACTGTTCTGGCTCAAATGTTGCTTCATCTAAATCTTGCCCCGTGTGGCAAATGGAATCTAAAATCATGAAACTAAAATGTGAAAGAAACATATCCTATCTGGATGCCAAAAAACTAATCAAAGATCAGACAACGACTCAATCTACTATTTCCTACTCTGCTGCAGTCTCCCGCCCAGTAGCAACATCATCTATTTCAAGTCAGACTGACTTGACATGGGTCATGTCAGAAGAACCTGTTGCTACTGTTTAAATCCATCGACCTATTCCTGTCACCCAATCTAGTTCAAGATCTCAGACTGAGATATAGCCTGAGAAACATTCTCAAACGTATATGAAAGAACCAGTAAATCAGTCAAAAAAAGGGAAAAAGAAATTGAATAGAAAACAAGCACCGATCGTCCCTTCACCTTCAGAGGTTCCTCTACAGAACTCATTTGGGCCTCTGGATATGGAGGTTACTCTGTCCTCACCGGACAGGCAGAGGAGTAGTTCCTCCTCACATTCATGCGAGCGATCTCCAATTGAGCCACCATGACTCAATTGTCCAACATAATACAGTGAAATTGCAGAGGATTTAGGCATAATTTTAATGAGATACAATTATTAATACAGGATTTTCAAACGTCAGCATTGTGTCTTCAGGAAACATACCTGAAAACTACAGATCAGTTCACCTTACGGCAGTACAATGACTATCATTCATTTTCTCCTCCAGGAGATAAAGCAACGGGAGGCTCTACTATCTTGGTGCGACAGGGGATAATACATAGTCCTGTCCCTCTTAATACCAATCTTCAAACTGTTGCTGTTCGTCTGACTCTGCACATTGCTTTTACGCTGTGCTCTTTGTATATACCTCCTTCTTCTGATCTTCGACAGTCTGATCTTCAAAGTCTGTATGACCAGCTCCCAAAGCCCTGCATCATCATGGGTGATCTGAACGGACACAACCCGCTTTGGGGAAGTGCAAATACCAGTTCTAAAGGAAAAATCATTGAGGAATTTATTTCTGACAACAACCTGTGTATATTTAATGATGATTCTGCCACATATTTACATCCAGCCACTGGCTCGTATTCTGCCCTCGATCTGTCACTCATAGACTCAAACTTGTATAATGAATTTGCATGGTCAGTCCATGATGACCTCTGTGGGAGTGATCATTTTCCCACTATACTTAAAACTGTTAATCCTACTGATGAACCACTTTCATGCAGGTGGAACTTTACCAAGGCTAATTGGTCCGTATATGAGGTACTGTGTACTGACAAAATAAGACATGATATTTTCCAGAATATTCCAGATCCGATACAGTTGTTTTCGGATTTACTGAATGACATTGCTGACCAAACCATTCCTAAGTCCTCTGCGAATCCCCATATTCGGAAACCATGGTTTACTAATGACTGCAAACAGGCCAGAAAGTGTAGGAAGAAAGCAGAAAAATATTTTCGCCGACATCCTACAGTCCATAATTTGGATAGGGTTAAAATTACAAATGCCAAGGCACGACGTTCTTTTAAACAAAACAACCGACAATCTTGGAGGAACTATGTCTCCAAGATAAATTCCCGTACACCCATGCCCAAGGTGTGGAACATGGTTCAGAAAATAAAAGGCAAAGGCTCAAAATCTTATGTTCATCATCTTAAGGATGATGGCACGTTATTAACGGATAAAACTGACATTGCAAATAAGCTTGGAGAAACGTTAGCAAAACATTCTTCAACATCAAATTATGTCCCTGAGTTTCAAAAAATTAAGAAACAACAGGAAAAGATCAAAGTAAATTTCGCTTCTGATAATGCTGAAGACTATAATGAAGTCTTCTCATTACTTGAGCTACACTGCCCGTGAGCAAGCTCATGACACAGCAACGGGTGATGATGTGGCAGATATGAATTTCCATGTATATAGGTTGTCATTTCAGGTTGCTAGAATTGTGATTGTTTATAGTTTTACCTCTAATAGTATCATCTTCAAGCGTTAGCCTATAGTTATTTTTAGATCTTTGTCACGTCTATTACGGGTATAAGGGGTGACAGGTTGTGTTGTGTCATTGCCTGTCTTATGTTCTTTGTCTTGCGCGGCCCCTTGTGTGGATTGGCTTGTTTTTTAAAATACTAAAAGCTACTTGCACGTCAGCCATTGCACTTCACAACAATCAGAGCACGTCAGCGATCACATCTCCGAGCACTTAGGACTAAATAACAAATCTAAAGGTGAGTATAATGTTTTAAGGATTGTATATATGTTATGTACTTAGTAGTAATGGTATTGGTGTAAATTGATTATCCTAGTGCATCATAATGTTTGCTAAAATGTATAATCGTGTAGTTGTGTATATTTTGTGCAATGGCGTTTATACATAAGTTTAATACTGTTCAGCATTATTAACATAACGCCTATGCTTTAAAATGTTAGTTAAGGTGTATAAATAGTTGAATGAAGAATGAATTAATGAACGAATGATATGACCTGATATTTCATATACTTTATCGTCATGAAGTTTATTAGTTCTTTAAAATGTTAGTTAAGGTGTATAAATAGTTGAATGAAAGAATGAATTAATGAACGAATGATATGACCTGATATTTCATATACTTTATCGTCATGAAGTTTATTAGTAATTTATACAATACCACATTCAATTGTATTTCTATATATGTGCGCATTTAGAATATTCTGAATGTTGTTTGTTTATTTTTATAGCAGCGTTATATTCCTCCAGAGGACGTGGAATATCTACACCCCAGTGTCACCCACAGGGTACGAAACTTATTATTGTGTGCCTATATTGCAATTGTATAAGAAACATAGTTTCTCTATATTTAGCATTTAATTTGTTTAACGTTCATCACAACCTGTACGTTAGTATGACGTATTTGTCTTGTGTTCGTCGTATCAAAGAGTTATCGTTCTTGCATGGTTGCCTCAACGAAATGTGTTAATGATAATGTCATTATTTCTGTATAGTATTATTTATTGCGGATGTTTTCTGAGGAACGATATTATAATTATTCCTATTGTAATATAAATGATTTGTGATATTAATTTGTTGTATTTAATTACATATGTGTACATGTTTATCCTGAATTAGTATGTATTCCCTATACATGTGTTTCAGGGTGTCTGTCTGTCAACATACAAAGAAAATAAAGTCTCACACCCGTAGCCTGTGTCTGGTCTTCCTATATACCTACACGATTCCGGTTACATAATGGAGCCCCCAGTGAGGACTTTGCAGATTATTGTTGACAGAGCCACCACAAGCTGACAAGGAAGAGCCTGCTGTAGTTGTGTCCGGATCCGGCAGCTAGGTGAACTGGTCAGTGTTCAGTTTTCTTGCATAGGACTGTTTGGAACACCAGCGACTTGTGCTGAGCTTAGTCAGACATTAGTGACTTGTGCTGAGATTAGTCAGACACCAGAGACTTGTGCTGACATTTATATGTGTGCTATGAACTTCTGCTCATGATTTGGGACTTTATTGAACTCTGGATTAAATGCGTCAGATGACTTCCACCTGAACTTATACACATCTGATACAATATAAACTGTTCTGTGATTTACTTAACCCTGTTTCCATGTATTTGTAACAATACAGATCTTTGTATTGCCATTCATCATGTACCATAGATCAATTTTGTTCGAACAATGTATTAGCGAGTTTTGATTTCATTACTTAAGTTAATAGCCGGCCATATTTTGTATATGTTCTCTTGATTACGTTGGTACCAACATGTTTAGTTAGTTTGTGGATCCACACTTTGTATTACAAGTTAGATAATTTCAATTCTCATTAGTACTTTGGTATTTCATTTATAGAACTTCTGACTTTGGTTCATAAGTGACTACTTAGTATTGGACAAATATCTATTTCTTATGTTCAGGTCAGTGTGTAAGTGTGTGAGTGTGACATTTCCTTTTCAGGTCTCGTCTATTACCTTTAGTGGTAGTTAAACTTAAATGACACTTTAACTAGGGACTTAAGTTCAGTAATAAAGTATGGTTGAGTCATAGTCACATCAGAGTCACACACTTCACTGCACTGCACTGCACTGCACTGTTGCTACGCTGTTTACTAACTCTAATTGTCTCCCCTACCTGTCCATTTCTTGTGGAGATACAGCTGTCTAGGTCAGTGAAAGAGTTCACATTCTCATGTTTCATACGGTTGTGTCAAACTCTTAGTTGTGTAACCTGTAGGACATTCACAAATATAGTTGTATATTGATCTGCTGGTTCTGGTTACAGTTACTGTTGGGTTCTTGGGCTTGGCATTGTTTTGAAATTTTACTGTGGTATCTAGACTGGTATTATTCTGCAAGATTAACACGGTTATCAACTAGATCAGAAGGTGTTTTTTATTAAAGTTGTTTTTGCTTGAACTTATGTTCTTTTCTTCTTTATTGTTTAACCTACGATCTGCTCACCCACACGCCTCATAGACAAGTTTGATTGAGCTTGTTCAAGATTTTTTATTTATTTAGAGAGCTTATCTACTGAAGGATCAATCCAATGTGTTTGTCACTTGAAACACATTAGTGCATTGGCAACGTCACACTTTTCCATTTACATTTGGACTTTGTTTCTACTTTAGTGACTTCTGTTTACTTTTGTCTGCATTTCTCGACAACAATGGAACTTGATCCTGGTGGATGGGAAAGCCTACTTACAGTGTTTGAGAGGTTAGGAATGTCTCCCAAAGTCGACACAGGCAAAGACTTCAAGGAATGGATTCAAGGGGTGGCACAAAAGGAAGGGCCCTTGATTAAGATGGAGGAAGACACAGCCCATGAGATGTCCACTGAGAGCAAGCCCCCCACAGATCCTGGGATAACCTCCACTACGAGTTACCACCACTTTCCTAGGCTGCCCATATTCAGTGGAGAGACAGACAAGGATACCACTTATGATTTGTGGAGATATGAAGTTGACTGCCTTCTCCAGTCCAAGACTCATACACCTGATGTTGCCCTACAAGCTATAAGGAAGTCGCTGAAAGGAGAAGCAGCTCTAATATCCATGAAGCTTGGACATAAAGCCAGAATTGAGGATCTTTTATCTAAAATCAGGAGTGCTTTTGGTACACTAAGGAGGAAGGAGTCTCTTATGTCTCAGTTTTATGGTGCATCTCAGAAGGAGGAGGAGGATGTTTCAACATGGGGATGTCGTCTTGAAAATCTTATGTATCAGATATCGGAGCAGCGCAACCTAACCTTAGAAGAGCAGGATGAGATGCTAAGGAGCAAAATGTGGGATGGGCTCAAACCTGGACTGAAGAGCTTGGCTGCACACAAGTATGAAGTAATTTCCAATTTTGATGAATTGCGACTTTGTCTAAGAGAAGTGGAATTTGACATTAACAGGGGCAAGCCCATGATAGAGAAGAAGAAGTCGGCTACAGCTAAAATGGCGACTGTTTCAGATAGCTCTGCTGCAGCTTCCAAGGAAGAAGTTCTTGACCTGAGGGAAATGATGAAGGAGATGAGAGCTGAGATTGCTGAGCTCAGGAATCAACATCATGGTCAAGTTTACCAGCAGCAGACTTCGAATATACCACTTCAAGCATGCTCCAATTATTCTTCCATCAAACCAGCGAATCCCTGTCAGACAGAGAGAAGAGGATCAAGTGGAGGCAAGGGGAGAGCTTCAGCATACACTGGTGCACGATCACAGCCTGTTCCATCTGCCCATCCAGCTTATGGTGCCAATACCGAACAGCCATATGGTATTCATCCACAAGCAACAGGTATTCCTCCTTACCCAACTCAGGGAGCTACTGGATTTGTTTCTCCAATAGAGAGAAGAGCACAATGGAACAACAATAATGAAGAGGAGCCGAGATGTTTTAGGTGTGGCTACACGGGTCATATTGCACGGGGATGCAGAGTCAGACTGGATCACCTACGGCATCCTTTAAACTGTCCCAGGCCTATGGGAAGGGGCCACCCCTAGGCTGGTCATCACGCCCTAAAGTACCAGATGGATTAGTTGGCAGTGCTAACGAAGTTGAGATTGTAATTGAAGGAGTACCTGCACAAGCATTATTAGATACAGGAGCTACAGTGTCAATTGTCTCTGAGACATTCTATAAATCCCATTTGCAGCACATTGTGCTTGAGCCTCTTGGTGATATTTTGGATATCGAATGTGCTGGAGGGGAGTCACTCCCTTATCAAGGATTTATACAGGTCAATGTCACCCTTACAGGTGGGGGTGTCAGCCCTCAAGATCCTGTTTCCTGTTTGCTCCTAGTTGTTCCTGAAACAAGGTATAACGTTCGAGTCCCTGCTTTGCTGGGTACGAATGTTTTGGAATGTCTTCTTGATGATTGTAGGCAGCTGCATGGACCAAGATTTCTACAGAAGGCAGCTTTACATACCCCTTGGTACTTAGCCTACAGAAGCATTGTACTCCAGGAGAAGGAGTTAGCACGCAATGGATGGTGTCTTGGTCTCGTCAGAAGTACAGAGACCAAGAATATTACCATTCTTCCCAACAGTAATGTCATCATAAAGGGTCGGATCACAAAGGGATTGACATCACCAGGAATTTGTGCACTTCTTCAGCCTACTCTCAGGTCATCACTTCCGTCTGACATTGATGTTGCTCCAACACTCATCACTTACAATAGTTCAAGGCCAGAGATTGTTGATGTACACATCTCGAATGTAACCACACAGACCTTACGTATACCTCCAAAGGCCCTTCTCTGTGAGGTCCAGCCAGTTACCATACAGAATTCACCCTTATGCCTCCCTGTTGAAGCAGATGTGTTGGCAGATCAGATAGAGGTTGATAAGGGAGAATTAACAGAGAAGGAGATCAAACATGGATTGGATGTAATCATGAGATTTCAGGATATATTTTCAAAGAATGAGGAGGATATTGGGCAGTCTTCTATGGTACATCATCAAATAGAACTCATGGATAACAGACCATTTAAACAGAGGCACCGCCGCATACCACCTGCCATGTATGAGGAAGTCCGTAGTCACCTGCAACAGCTCTTATCTGCTGGCGTTATTAGAAAGTCGCACAGCCCTTGGGCATCGAACGTTGTATTGGTTCGCAAAAAGGATGGACGACTCAGGATGTGTGTTGATTATCGCCAGCTGAATAATCGTACCATCAAAGACTCGTATGCTTTGCCAAGGATTGAAGAGCTCCTAGATTGTCTTGGTGGCATGAAATACTTTTCGGTGTTGGACATGAAAAGCGGATACCACCAGGTTGAAATTGAGGAAGGACACAAGTCACGCACAGCATTCACTGTTGGACCGCTAGGATTCTTCGAATACAACAGAATGCCATTTGGGCTATCCAATGCACCAGCTACATATCAGCGACTCATGGAAGAATGCCTAGAGGGTCTTCATCTCAACATATGCCTAATTTACCTCGATGACCTCATCATCTTTTCCAGAACTTATGAGGAACATCTTGAGAGACTACAGCTCGTTTTTCGTCGTCTCCAAGAATGTGGCTTAAAGCTAGCACCGAAGAAATGTAAATTTTTCAAGCGAAAAGTCAGATATGTAGGGTACATTGTATCTGAGGCTGGGATTGAAGCTGATCCCGAGAAAGTGAACAAGATCAGAGCTTGGCCTACACCATCTAACCCAGAGGAAATCAGAAGATTCCTTGGATTTGCAGGCTATTACCGCAAATTCATCAAGGATTTCTCGAAAATCTCAAGGCCTTTATCTGAGCTGATGCCCAAGTCTTCCTCCAAGAAATCTCGAGGACCCTCTAAAGATGTAGGCTGGATCTGGGGTCCAAAACAGGATGAGGCTTTCAATGAGTTGAAGTTTCAACTATGTTCTCCACCTGTACTGGGCTATGCAGACTATGCACAGCCCTTCGAACTCCATACTGATGCCAGTACACAGGGATTGGGTGCAGTCTTATACCAACATCAAGATGGTCAGCTTCGAGTCATTGCCTATGCAAGTAGAGCATTGGGGCGATCTGAGAAGAACTATTCAGCACATAAACTTGAGTTTTTGTGCTTGAAGTGGTCCATCTCAGAAAAGTTCCATGACTATTTGTATGGGCATGATTTTGTTGTGGTTACCGACAACAACCCATTAACCTATGTACTCACCAGTGCTCGACTTGATGCAACTGGGCATAGGTGGTTGGCTGCACTAGCGAGCTACAACTTTAGTATCAAGTATCGACCAGGAAAGGCCAACATTGATGCTGATACGTTGTC